CAACAAGAATGAAAAATTACATACACATGCACCAGTCAAAAGATGCACACACAAATACAGAGGCCGATCAACTTTTTCATATGAACGGAGTTATATTAAAAAGTGTATAGGCCTTTTTATGGTTGTTTCTAATAACTTGGATCTATATTTCAGATCACTGGGGGTAATATCTGGAATGACGGGAGGTGGAGGAAATGTGGGTGCTGTTTTGACACAGCTAATTTTCTTCAAAAGATCCAAATATTCCAAAGAAAGAGGTATAACCCTAATGGGTGTGATGATGATAATTTGCACCCTCCCACTATGTTTGATCTACTTCCCACAATGGGGTGCATGTTTTGCGTTCCATCATCTAAAAAGGTTGCAGAAGAAGATTACTACTTGTCTGAGTGGAACTCAACGGAGCAGCAGAAAGGCTCTCATCTTGCAAGCATGAAATTTGCAAACATAAGCAGAAGTGAAAGAGGCAAAAGAGTTCATTCTTCAACCAGATCTTCCGTTGAAGCCACAACACATAATCCTTGATTGTTCCTCAGGGGCCACAAAACACACTAGCATGAAGAGAAAGCCTTCATTGAAGAATTAAGGTGTCTCAATATTCTAGTTTGCTTATTAATATAGGGATGACTGTAATATTTCAAAGATCATGTCAGTTCACAATCATTTATATCCTCTTAGCACATGAGAATTTTACTTTCCAAGCACTTGAAAACTTTATTATATAATATTTGAGCATAAAATATATGGAAAAGTCAAGATTTATTTGATATGCATAACTGCATATTAATATTTTCCACATATCAATATGGTCAAAAATCTTCATAAATAGTCTTCGACGTACTCAGGAAAAATTTCATGCCAAATCCCAGGGTTTATTGAGATTAGGAAGAATACAGTTTTAACCAAAATGACTTGAAACAATACAATGTTAACCAAAATGCCTAGTAGTGTGTTTATAGAATCTTCAAACTTCGTTCAACTTCAACAAAATAAGCAACACAACCTTGAAAGATAAAACCAGAGAAAGTACTCAGTCATAATAAACCAGCAAAGAAGCCACGTGTGAAGGAGGATCCCCCTTAAATCGACAAAATAATTTGTGTCCACTAAATCCAAACAAAATTAGCACAAGATATAAATAGAACCACATTGCTCGGTACGATTAAGTTAAAACAAGCGAAAATAGGCCGAGGAAAAATGAAAGGGAAAAAAAAATAGAAAACAACAAATTTTCAATATAAACAAACCATGTTATTCTGAAATTACTTGCACCTAAAGCAGTATTACGTGAACACAAAGTCAGAGAAAGCACTTAACGTGCTTATAAGTAAGCGAAACAAGCAATGGCTTTGAACCGAGATGTAATTATTATAATCACCGACGTACCTCCTCGGCTCCTCCGCCCATTGGAGCCGAGCTTCATCAAGCGAGCCACAACCACAAGCATTAGAAACTTGGGAACGACGTCCGTTCTGTAACTGACGTCGTATACAGATCTTGTCGTATGGGCCTGATGAGGATAATATTGAGAAACTCCATGGGCTTATTGGACCTTGCAATGTTCTAATAATGGGCTCAGTTACTCCCACAAAATTTCTCAATTACTCGTGAGATTAGCCTAAACGAGGTTTCAGTTTTTGTTAAAAAACTCAAATATTTATTAACAGTCATATGTTATGAACTTTCATTCTAGTATAATAATTAGTTATTATTTCAAGTAACTAATGATTCAAAATGGACTATTTGATTGGGAAGAGTATTATTAAAGCCAAGTGAAAAAAAAACTTCTTCAGACTAATTTGAAATCATACCATCCCTTCCTCGCAGTAATTAATTTACAACAATGTAAATTTGCTTACGCACGACCCAATACGCGTCTTATGTTAACGAAATATGTAAAAATAATTAATTTATAGAGCCTCATTTACATTAAGTGGTTGGAACGAGATTATATTCATTGATATTTAATACAAGACCCTTTATGAAATTTAATAAAACATTTGTACTCATTTTAAAAAATACTTTGGTCTCTCTGTTTTTCTTGTCCCCATTCCCTTCTATCTCACAATCACAATGGACTATACCAATTAGGGGGCAATATTGAAAAGTTATAACCAAAAAAACAAGTTGAGATTTAACCAATTCTAGCTAATTTCTCTAATCTCATGGAAGTATTTAATAGAGCTAGAGCCTTATAGAAGGAAGTATTTACTTTTTTTAGTTTTCAATAACAACATTACTTTTATATTATTTATGTTTTTAATTGAAAATTTTAAATGCTTTTTTTTAATTAAAATGTTTGTTTACCGTCCTAAAAGCACTAGTTTGCGAGAATCTCACCGAAAAAAAAAAGAGGAGGAGGAGGAGATTACAAGCAACAGACGCGTGTTTTGATTTGGTGGGGAATAATCCAAAGAGCATGATTATCAAAATAAAAGGAAAAATCACCTGTGAACGTGTTATGTTGAAGAATGGTCAAGCGGTGATTCAGAAAGTGATATAAACATAGAAAATACCATGCAAAATGCTCTCTTAAATCTCAATGATTTTTATTTCTTCAACTTGAATAGCCTTATAAAATATAATGTGTGTTTGGGTTAAACAAATCTGTAACCGAGGTTGAGAATCAACTGAGGTTAGAAAAATATATATAACTATAATATAATTTATGTTTGAATATTTTTTTTAAAATTTAGTTAAGCATACTAAAATTTATTTAGATGATTTGATTCAAAAGTCTGTTAAAATGTATAATGATAAAAATAAACATGAATTTTTTTATATATTTTTATTACTAATTTGATATTTAAAAAATATTAAACTTAAATTACTACATTTAAAAAAAATAGATTATAATATAAAATACAATGATAAATCAAAAATCTTGATTTTTAAAAAATTAGAATTAAATGATAAAATTTAAAATATTCAATTAACAGAATCTATTATTATAATAATAAAGAAGATGTGAATTTTTGATAAATATTTTTGTGACTAATTGATATTTTTAGATAAATATTAAATTAAAATTTTATTTTTAAATGGTAGAATTGAACAATTTAAAATAATTTGATAAATTAAAAAACTTAAATTTTAAAAATGTGTTGCCCGGATTTTAAAAAATAAATTAAATTGCTACTAACTTATAAAAAATTATATTTTTTGATTATTTTTATTATGCATTAATATAAATGTATTGATTTTACTGATATTAATGTATTAATTTATTAGTGTTTTTTATTATGAGTATTTTATGATGAGAGACGATGGATGAGAGACCAAGGAAGCTTCGCATCCGTCACGAGCCAAATTGGAGAGGGTGAGAATAAAGGGAGAGAAAAACCTCATACAATTTTAAAATATCAAATGCAAACTTCACTTCACTTTTTTCAATGACCGTTACTTTATAAGTTTCTTTTCCCAACTTCAGTTTTAACACAAGTTCTTCTTAAAAGCACTTTTCAAAAATTTTATATTCAAACAAAATTAGAAAGCCTCAAATGAACTTTTTTATTCTTAATTGAGGTTGGAGTCCCCTCCAAACCTCAATTAAAGATAATCCAAACATAAGTTTTTTTTATAAGTTATTACTATCCAATCTTATTAATATCAGCATAAAAAATAAAGAAATAAAAATATGTAAAATTTAAATATTTTTTATCTAACAAATTTAAAAAGTAATGTCAGGTTATTTTTTTATCTCATAAAAAATAATTATAAAAATATCTTTTAAATATTTATTAAAAGTGACATGTGCGGGAGTCTATCAATTCATTATAAGAGATGGTCACGGTAGCTTTGTGGACTCGCTTATGAATTTAACTTTAAGGGTATGTATAAGAGTATATGATGAATAAAAATATATGATTATTAATGGAATGAAGTAAGACAAAGTAGAATGGAAAGAAATGTTTTATTATTTGAGAATTTTTATTAAAAAAATAAATAATTTTATTTAATCATTATTTGAGAATAATTTTAAAATTAATATATTTGAATTATATATAAATATATTTGTTAGCTTCATGAGGAGGAGAAGTGAAAAAGTGATCAAAGGTGAAAACAATGAAGGTAATTTTATAATGGTGTTATTTATACCTTACCATTACAATTTTAACCCCGAAGTTGGGGTTAAGAAAAATAAATTTAGGATGATGAATGATGATTTAGAAAGTCTCCAAGCTATTTTATTCTCTTTTAAAAAAAATTTCTCAAATAACAGTATAAGGTTTCTAATCATCTTATGTTATTATATTCCATCTTAAAAAAACTTCCAAACATTACCTAAGAGTTACCCCTTACACTATTTATAAGTTATTTTAAATACATTTTTTATAATTTAAAAAAATTAAAATTCATTAATTTTATCTAAAAATTTAATATATTTTTAACTTTATTCTTACTGCACTTAAACTACATAATTTAATAATATACTTTCTCTGCTTAATATTTAATGAGAGACAAAACAAACTTACAATAAAAATTTAACGACATGGTTTATAAATAAAATAAAAAAATTCTGCCGCCCGACTCCTGTACATAAAACGTGAGGAGTTTTTTGCAACATGAAGTTCATAATTATATTTTGACCAAAAAAAATAAGAAGTTCATAATTATGAACTGTGGGGTCGCAATCCGAAGAGGAGGATTCGTCCCTGGTTTTCAACGCGTTCCGACCTTCTCCGTCACTTTCATTGCATGTGGCTCTGCGACGAAACTGACCCTCTCTTTGAATTTAACGACCACTACATTTCTAGACTCGAGCAAATGACAAATCTCAACCTTGTACTCCACGAATCATCTCTCGACAGCACTTCCCACTGGTCCCACCACCATGCATGAACCTGTGTCACCAACCTGTCTTCCTATCATCAACGGCGCTGTGGTTCTTTTTAATTCCTGTTTACTGTTAATCGACCTCTGGTTGGTGACCTATTAGATATTAATATTAGTATTACTCGTTTTCTTGTTTGAATTTGCGGCACTTCACTAACACGTACCAAAAAAAGAAAAAATTTCGTTCATCTCTTTCTTGTCGGCTCTATTTATTTTCGTTTTTTTTTTTCCCTGCTGTTTTCTTGCATTCCAATCACCCATTTCTGTCTGTCATGTTCAACACCAAGCAGGAAAAGCAGAAAGCTTTGTTTCCATCCCCAATGTATGGTGCACCCCTTCTGCTGCTTCTCCTTCTTTGCTTCGCTGTCCCTTCTCTTTCTGATCCAAGAGCTACAGAAGCAGCTCTGATGTGTACAAACAGAACTACACCATTTTCCGATCGCAATATCTTCACAGACAATTTCTTAGCGGCGTTAGACGCCTTGACCCCTTCAATTGCTTGGCAAAGACACGCGTCTGTTATTAATGGGACCGGAAATTCCACTGTTCATGCTTTCGCACAGTGCATGAAAGATCTATCTGAATGGGATTGCAATGTCTGCTTCGCGCAGATCAAGAGTCAAGTCCCGAGGTGTTTAGCGTTTCAGAGAGGGACTCGTGGGGGAAGAGTATTCTTTGATGGGTGTTATCTCAGGTACGATGATTATGACTTCTTCAATGAGAGTCTCAGTGATCAAGACAGAACTGTGTGTGGAAACAAAGAATTTGGTGGGAATCAGAGTGTATATGAGGCTAATGCAATGGAATTAGTGAGGAATTTGAGTGTGGAAGCACCGAACAGTGATGGGTTCTTTGTGGGTTTCGTGAGAAGAAGTAACGTGACTGTTTATGGGTTGGCTCAGTGCTGGGAATTCGTCAATGGAAGTGCTTGTGAGAGATGTTTAGCAGAGGCTGTTAACAATATTAGTTCTTGTACTCCAAAAGAAGAGGGAAGGGTGTTAAATGCTGGGTGTTATTTGAGGTATTCAAACCAGAAGTTCTATGACAACTCAACCAATCCCATTACAGGAAATCAAGGTAAGATTAATACTTCCAGATAAAAAAATTGCTTTGTTTGTTCTGGCATATTCAGCTTCTCTTCCCATTTCTTGAAAATCTGAAAGGAAACTATTATACGTCTGCACTCCTTAATCCTGCATTATATTCTGCATGTTCTCTTGGAACAGCAATGTTGTAGAAAATCCTTTCAAACTTGGTCATATAATGAGAGATTATAGCAATGAATCTGCGTGTTATTATTTCTTAGGGAACAGCAGCTCTTCAACTATAATGCTGGCTGCATCAAGTGCTGGATCGGCTTTTGTGCTGGTTGTTGCTGTAATTGCTTTCTTTGCAAGGAAAAAGATGCAGAGGAGGAGGAGAGGTATCAACGTTTGATATTTTGAGACTTCGACAGATTGTTTTGATCTTGAAGCACTTCATCATTTTTGTGGATTCTGATGATTCTTCTTTATTCTCAGAAAGAAGACAATTTGGTGCACTTTTGGACAGAGTTTACAAGTCCAAGCTCAATATGACATATGAGGTTCTTGAAAGGGCCACAAATTACTTCAACACCTCCAATAAGCTAGGACAAGGAGGTTCAGGTTCTGTTTATAAAGTAACTACTGGTCTTGCCTATAATTCCTCTATTTGTATCAGCCAAATTCTCACTCAAATTGGTTTACTCAATTTGTTTCTTTGACATATATGTAGGGAGTTCTGCCTGATGGGAACATTGTTGCTATCAAAAGGCTTAGCTTTCACACAGCACAATGGGCAGATCATTTCTTCAATGAGGTCAATCTGATAAGTGGCATTCAACATAAAAATCTTGTAAGGCTTCTGGGGTGCAGCATTACAGGACCCGAAAGCCTTCTTGTTTACGAATATGTGCCAAACCAAAGCGTCCATGATCACTTTTCTGGTTGACATCTATGATCTATCTAGTCTTTGAGACATTCTCTCAATAACTTTTTAAGCTACTTACATTGCATCATTTTGATATGCTTCAGTGAAGCAAAAATCTCAGCCCTTGACTTGGGAAGCAAGGCGTAAAATCATATTGGGAACTGCAGAGGGATTGGCCTATCTTCATGAGGAATCACCAGTGAGAATCATTCACAGAGATATAAAACTAAGCAACATTCTGCTTGAGAAGGACTTCACACCCAAGATCGCTGATTTTGGACTTGCTAGATTATTTCCTGAAGATGGGACTCACATTAGCACTACGGTTGCCGGCACACTGTAAGTTCATGACTTCCTCCAGTTATCTGTTTTCAACATCAATCTGTTCTAATGAATTTTCCATTATGGGTAACATCCTGAATTGGTACTATTAATGTACATATATAGCGGTTACATGGCTCCAGAGTATGTGGTTCAAGGGAAGTTAACAGAGAAAGCGGATATTTACAGTTTTGGAGTTCTACTGATTGAAATTATATCTGGAAAAAGGAGCAGTTCTTTTGTTCTGAATGCATCCTCCATCCTACAAGTGGTAATTCTTCATTTTTGTCGAGAAAGTTGTTTTCTCAGTTCTAAGCTTAAAAGGTAGCACTTCTACTACGTTTGCTGATCCAATATATTTTCTCTTTCGGTTTGAAGGTTTGGAATCTTCATAGGTCAGGCAACCTCTGTAACATGGTTGATCCAAGACTTGAGGGCAATTACCCGTTCGAGGAAGCGTGCCGGCTACTTCAGATAGGCTTGCTTTGTGCACAAGCGTCTGCAAATCTACGACCATCAATGTCAGAAGTTGTGAGACTGATCACCAGCAATGAGGAAATTCCTCAGCCCACAAAGCCACCATTTCTGGTTCCAAGCAGTGTTGAATGCAGCAAAGATTATAATTTGCTTGCTTCATCCGATACACATTCTTCAGAGGACAGCATGACTGAAAGCCTTATTCCTCCTAGATGAGTCACACAGTACTGTTATACATGTCTATTATAACTATGAGTTGTATATTCCTCCTTCGTACTAAAAGTTAGGAACCAAGTGCTTTGTGTATATTAATTAAAGCTTCTTAGCATAGAGCTGTTGTATAAAATGATCTTTTTGAGTTTGCACGGGATATATATATATATATATATATTGTGACAGGCCATTTTGTGAATAAAGTAGTTGACTCATGCAAACTGTAAAAGTATGTAGCATGCTTTTATTTCTTTTCTGATTCTCATGGATATTTGGTTCTAACAATTGCATGCCACTACCACCTCAACTGTGAAAGGTCAACTCCACCTCCAAAGTCAAAAGATGCAGTTTCTGAGAAAACACCCATGTTCTGTTATTTTTGGGTGTAAACACGGCTAAGTTGTTGAAATTAGCGTCAGTAGCTCATGCTAACGTCATCCTGTGATTTACCTTAGGACCAATAAGCTGGCTGTAGTATGACGATTCTAGTAGGAAAAAATTGTTAAAAGGGCAAGATGGTGGTTTCAGATGAAATAACATAAAATAGCAACTAAAGATCAAGACTTAGCAAGTTGATCTTAGCGGATCGGAAAAATTGTAATTATTTTGCAAGATCAGCATTACTAGAAATTACAGAGGATCTATTATTTTTTTAAAAGAGTTAGTTTTAAGTTATCTAAAATAATGTTACCATTGAGTTATTTAAAAGTAAATCCTTTTTAAATGTAGTATATCTTTCCTGATATTATAGTATACTCCCTCCATCCTTATATATAAGATATTTTTAATCAAATCACGTAAACCAATAAAAGTTAATTATTAAATTATAACAATATTTTAATTTTATCCCTAATTATTGTAAATAAAAAATGAATCTATTTTTTTTAAAGTAAATTAATAAAAATAATTATATTTTTCTCTTTTCAATTTAATAAGGATATAACGGTCTATTTATTAAAAAGTATACTAACAACCTCTTGTATTTAGAAATAAAAAAAAATTTAAAAAATCTCTCAGGGATAAAAGGAGTAAGTTCCTTAAATGTTAATTATTATAATTTTAAAACCTCGATCACAAAGTCAGAAACGGTCAAAGGATCGGGATGAAAACTCAGTGTCGTATTAACCCTGATTCTTGGAAATAAGTATAAGTCGGAAGTCAGAACAACCCAAACGCTAAATATGACAAATTCTGGGTCCTTACATGCAATATTTTCTTATGTCCAAGCGCGTATTTTTCCCAGGAACGCGAACGGTCGAACGCGTAATTGCATTTTTTCTCCCAGGTCACAGCAAAATACTGTCTGTCATTGGTTTGGAGTAGCTGAGCAAGCTTTAAAGCCGTCTCCATCACTTCGCACAAGATCATCATCTCAAATTTCACGCCTCGTCGTGATTTCACATACTTACAAGAGACAAACTTCAACTCAGTTCTGGGTCTCAATAATCAAAAGCTCAGGTACGAAGAACTTGTAAACACAATTAGTCTTGGTCACAGCCTTATCTACTTCTCTTTCTCATTCGCTGAATTCACTCCACACTTCATTCCACACCCTGAAATGCTTGCAACCTCTTTCATACTCATCTTTTACGTACAGAACTTTATATTCAGGTTGACGAATTACAGTCTCGCACGATGTTAGAAAGTTTCCTTAAATATCTCGCAGAGAAGGCACAGACCTTATTAAGTGACATTTTTGGCCGTTTGTTTCAGCTTGCTATGCAGGCAAGCATGGCTTGGCTCTTGTCATCGTTTTTTTCTCTGATCTTTTCTTAGAGATTACTTTCATGGCGATGGTGGGGCTTCGTTGGCCTCATCTCTTAAAAACAATGAATGGGACAGGTTTTCCTGTGGGCTGTGGCCTAGAACTTCTAATCCATCACCGACGATTTGTCTAGAAGCTTTTTAGTTTTTTTTTTTAAATTTTTAATACAAGCTTTTTAGTTGTTAACTTTTAATATCCCAACAACAATAGCAAGTCATGTTGACTTTGGCAACTTCTGCATGATAAAGAAAGTTCCCACAAGTTTTTTTATTAATTCTCTGGACAAGAATTTTATTTTTCTGATCTAAATTTCAACCAAAATTTTGAAGTCTATTTCTCTCTCAAAGTTTATTTCATAGTATAATTGAAATTATGTTGTCTAGATTATTTTTTTATTTTAAAACAAATTTTACGCCATCAACTAAATAGTAGACAATTGAAACTTTTTCAAGTGTTTTTGAAATTAAATTCAACTTACTCAGTATATTATATTTTCTTATCCACCCAACAACCTTCTTTATGCGCCTTTAAGTACTTTTGAGTAGCCATTACATGCCCCCAAGGTTGTCCAAAAAATCAAGCCTGCTAGTCACCACAATCGTGTCCAACGATGATGGATTATTCTAAGTGGGGTCAGTGTAACAGCTCATCAAACCCTATGCTGTCTCTTATTGAAGTGTGAAAGTAAACTTTATACTGATCTGAACACGAGCCACAAAAGAAACAAGATTTACCTTTTAAATATTAATGGAGAAATTATCACCCTCTTGTTTGGCAAGCCTCAAATAGATCATTTACCAAAAAGTCAGTGCGTAATTCGGTTATTGTACTCCTTTCACACAGCAGCCGTCCTATCTGCAGCTACTTTTATCCCTGCATAGCCTCTGTTTTCAACCTGAGATAATGATGCATTTCATATAGATCCAAAAATATGTTAAAATTTCTGAGAATAAACGATGTAATCATAAATCCAGAATGATCTTGTATCTGATATAGCTACAAACAGAAGTTCTAAACTCTCCTGTCGCTGCAGTTTCTTGTTGAGCAGTCCAGCAATCTGTACCAGAGAACATGAAGAAAGCAGTCCGATTTGTGTCTTGTCAATCCCTTATTCTCCTTCTAATCAAATCATTACTACCACTATTTATGCTGCCACAAACAGTAATGGCAGATCCAAGAACGAAGACAGTGCAAACAACATGTGGCAATCAAAAAGAGCACAATATCACAAACTTCGTTACAAATTTTGTTACAACCATGGAAAACATCAGTGATCAGGTGCGCAATCATGGGTATGGCACAGCAGTTTCAGGGACAGGTCCTGATACCAACTATGGCCTTGCTCAGTGCTATGGAGATCTTTCCTTACTTGACTGCGTATTATGTTATGCTGAGGCACGTACAGTTCTTCCCAAGTGTTTCCCCAGCAATAGTGGTCGCATCTACCTTGATGGTTGCTTTATGAGGGCTGAGAATTACAGCTTCTTTGATGAGTACAGAGGAGCAGAAGACAGGGCTGTGTGTGGGAACACAACCAGAAAAAGTACAAGTTTTCAAGCAACGGTGAAGCGGGCAGTTCTGAGTGCAGTTGAAGCAGCGACAAATAATAAAGGGTATGCGAGGGAGAAGGTTGCTGTATCAGGAACAACAAATGAGTCAGCTCACGTTCTGGCCAATTGTTGGAAGAGTCTGAACACAAGCTCTTGCAAAGCATGTCTGGAAGATGCATCATCTTCGATATTGGGATGCTTGCCCTGGTCAGAAGCAAGAGCTCTGAACACTGGCTGCTTCATGAGGTATTCAGATACAGATTTTCTGAACCTGGAACTGGAAAGTAGAAGTTCAGCAGGTAATTGTGTTATGATCCAGCTTCAAGCATTAAGAAAAAATTACATATAAGAGTCATAGATCATAGATCATGAGTATTGCTTCACATGGCTGAATTTTACAGGTGATGTAATAGTGCTAGTGGTTGCAATTGTCAGTTCAGTGGTTGTTTTCGCGGTTGCAATAGCTATTGGGGTTTATGTCTGGAAACAGAGATACATTCAAATGAAACGAAGAGGTATGTGACTTATTCATGCCCTGCCTTTTTAGAAAACATAACTTTTTAAAACGTAAGTCTTTTGACACTTCTGTGCTTCACAATATAAAACTCAAGCATGTCAAACACACAAAATCATGCAACTCCTAGTCTCAAAAAAATAATCAGTTCCTTCCTTGGCTCCAAGGAGCCAGTTCTCGCTACGGTCGGGTAATATAGTGAGGAACCATAACTTATTTAAATCATATCCACGATGTTTACTGATCCCAATAGTTATTCTGCATTGAAGGTTCAAATGATGTAGAAAAGTTAGCAAAGACCCTTCATCACAACAGTTTGAACTTCAAATACTCTACCCTGGAGAGGGCAACCGACTCTTTCGATGTTGCTAACAAGCTTGGACAAGGAGGGTTTGGGACAGTTTACAAAGTATTTTTCCTCTTCTGCAGACTTGTATGTCCAGCATTTATCAAATTAAAACCATTCTTACCATTTGCTATTGCAGGGAATTTTGCCTGATGGAAGAGAGATTGCAGTCAAGAGATTATATTTTAACAACAGACATAGAGCAGCAGACTTCTATAATGAAGTCAACATAATCAGCAGCGTGGAACACAAAAATCTAGTCAGATTGTTAGGATGCAGTTGTTCAGGACCCGAAAGTCTTCTTGTATATGAGTATCTGCCCAACAAGAGTCTTGATCGTTTCATTTTTGGTAATTACTCAGCTCTTAATATAGCTCCATTTAGTGGGTAGTATTCAGACAATTGAATGCCTGTCAAAGCTGTTTATGGTCTATTGCAACCTTTTGACTTTCACAATGTGAGCTTAATATAATATTTCTGAATTATTTCATCGCATGACAGATAAAAACAGAGGCAAGGAACTAAACTGGGATAGGAGATATGAAATTATCATTGGGACTGCAGAAGCATTAGTCTACCTGCACGAGAAGTCCAAGATTAAGATAATTCACAGAGATATAAAAGCCAGCAATATCTTATTAAACACAAGGCTTCGAGCTAAAATTGCAGATTTTGGTTTGGCTAGGTCTTTCCAAGAAGACAAAAGCCACATCAGCACAGCTATTGCAGGGACTTTGTAAGTTTTTCTAACCATACTGCATTTTTTACAGTTAAGAAAAGACTTTCGAGAAAGTTACGGTACTACTTAATTAACTTGCGTTTCATTACAAAACTACCATGTCATATCTGAAATAGCCTTTTCTTTACTATTTTTGCCGGACCTGCAGAGGGTATATGGCTCCCGAGTACTTAGCTCATGGTCAGTTAACAGAGAAAGCAGATGTATATAGTTTTGGAGTGCTACTGCTAGAAACAGTTACTGGGAGACAGAACAACAGAACCAAAGCATCAGAATATTCAGACAGCCTAATTACAGTGGTCAGTTGCATATTATTCCATCAGTAAATGAATTCTACTTGTTTTCAACATACATTTCTCATATCGTGACTAGATTGAGAACTGTAACTAACCTAGCCTTATCTTTCTTTTGACATGTGTCTTCTGGTAAGATCAGACATGGAAGCATTTCCAGTCAGGGACAGCAGAACAACTATTTGATCCAAATCTAACGTCACAGGAAAACCACAATAGCAATGTTAAAGATGAAATATTACGAGTGGTGCACATAGGACTTCTGTGCACTCAAGAGATCGCTTCATTGCGACCAACTATGGCAAAAGCATTAGAGATGCTAACTAAGAAGGAGGAGCACCTTCCTGCACCCTCTAATCCACCCTTCATGGATGAAAGCACGATGGAACTCCAAGACATATACGATGATCCAGCTTATCCTCTCAATGCAGCAGATTCAATCGCTACTATGTCCCACAGCTCATTTTATCCCAGGTGATCGTGACATGATATGCAGAGAAACATCACTTTATATATATATATATATATATATCAATTCTGCAGACTGGCTTCACTTCTGTAGGAAGATGGCTCGCCAGACCTGCATATATTTTGGAAGTCGCTAACAATTCTTCGTATGAACTGATATTTGATGATGTGCACATTTGGATGCACGGGGAGTAGCTAAGCTTTAAGTCATCCTAATGGAGTTGTGGGAAGTAAATAGTGTATATTTTATATATTGAATCATGGTCGACTTGACTATGAATTTTGGATCAAACCAATGCATTAATTGATCCTTCGCAAATCTGGTTAGAGCTCCTATCGGTTACCAAGATTTGTTTCCAAGGGAAAAAAAGAGGAAAAATAAATTGAAAGCTACTATGGTTCTGCACTTTGATATGATGAGAAAAAACAAGTCGATTAAGCATTACAAGCCAAGTCCCCATTGTTCATTCAGTAAACTTCAAAATGTCAGGCAGCATAGATTTAAGATTAGTTAAATAGTAGAGCACTTTAATTAAGAGCAGAGTATGTAATTACAACCCGAACACAAATTGCACCAGAATAATAAACAAAAATATATACATGGAAAAATATCCATATATAAATCCCATCTAACGCTTTGCTACCAAGCAGCCCATAAGGCCTCCACTGATCTCATAATGTCGTGCAGTAGAAAAACCAACTTCTAATGCGAGTTTCTCCAATTCCTTCCCTGCATCAATGGAGGGTTTATTAATTACACATCCAATAAGACAGACCATCTAATGGCCACAAATGTTTGATTTCTCCTTCTATTAACTAAATGGAAGATTGATGGCAACTACACAAGGAAAAAAAACTACTCCAAAGAATGAGGCGTTCTGCGCAAAATCTGCAGCCAAAGTCCTCTCATTCTATAGCAGCTAAAATGATTAGCATAGATGGAAAACAAACCTGTTAAAAACTCTCTGATTGAGCTCTTTAGATATCTATACTCTTCAGCGAGGCCATAACCAGAGGCCACCGGGACAACAACGTTGTCAATCATCCATTCCTAGAAGAAGTTGATATATGGAGTGAAGCCATCAATTTGCAACAAATAGTCGAAAAGGAAAAAACAAAAACAAAATCATAGAATTTTTGGCAGAATGATTTCAGTTAATATATTGGGATGTTTAAACTCTTTCTTGCATTTCTTCACCCTCACAGCTAAGCCTTCAACTTTCTTAAGGGGTAGGGATGCTTCCAACTAGAGTTCCACTTGCAAAATAACACTTGTATACAGATTTAAGATAAGCAGCCCCGTCACCTAAGTTAAACACTGTAAAGCAATAGCCCATAAAAATCATGCCTACCATAACTGAAGCAGTCAGAAACTGATTGCTCTTATTAAAGTCAAGGATAGCCACTCTGGAGCCTGGAAAGCAAAAGAAAGCATATAAGGACACCAATTTAATATATCGCCAAAGATAAGATTAATGGAGTCAAGAGACAAGCTACCGATTTTTAGGACTCGTAATATTTCTTGCATGGCCTTGCGCTTATCAACCACGTTTCGTAGACCAAAGCCCATAGTTACAGCATCAAACCAACCATTAGTAAATTGCAAGTTAAGAGCATCGCCTTCAACCCATCTGCCATGCAATGAAGGGTCACTTCCTTCACATTTAGGTCACATGCAATTTTTATGAGCCAAGTTCATACGCAGTATTAAATTACAACTTTACAGCACACTTTTGCAGCTTAATAACGGAGCAGCATGGAAAATTTGTGAAGGATCATTGTAGCCAAAGAATCAATTATCATAAGCTCCAGGCTATTATCTAATGTTTCCATACTGCTAGGATTACCAATGCTCACTCAATATTACTGAAGTAGTTCTTTGAAAGCAACTTCTGCCGAGATGAAGCAAGCAACAGTTGCTCCTTTGAGAAGTCAAGACCAGTCACCTACAGATTCCATGATTCCAAAATACATCACTTATATAAAAACCACCTTAAATGTCGGAAATTTACTATTACTCATGAGAGCGAGCATGGGTGTGAGTTTTTTTTGGGGGGGGTGGATTTCGAAGTTCATACAAATCAGCAAGGTTAGCTTGCAAGAGCACAAAATTCTGTACCAATCAAGTTCCACATATCTAAACATTACTTCAAAGGCAAAGAAGTTTATATAGTCACATATAAGAAACTGTCCAAAGTATGAGAAACCATCTCAGCAAGGTCAGGCGTGCTGTGTGGCAACGAAGATGAGACATGTACTAGGATGCTGTGTCCATACTACTCGGTTCAACGACCCCGAACAGCAACAAAGGTAATAATTTCTTACGATAATATACAAAAGATCCACTTATTCCTAATGAAACTAAACATGAGAACATGATATGGGGAAAAAAACAAGAAAAGAAACCAACCTTGCCATAGGAGCCAACTTTCTCAGACAAAAGAAACGCTAAATCGCCACTCCCACAGCACACATCCAATACACGGTCTCCCATTGTGGCTCTGCTTCAAAGTTCAAACAAATACCACATTAAGGGAGGGGAAAACCAAGATCAAAAAACAAAAAGAAAGGACTCCAAACGTTTGAAGGAAATGCGTTGATTCAGTAATCGGGAAACTGCGTACCCACTCCATGACACAGCCATTCGCTTCCAAATACGGTGCTGACCAAGGCTCAGCAAATCATTGAGCTAAGGAAGCAGCGAAAAAAAAAAAAGAGCATAAAAATAAGAATAAAAAAGGAGAGTTATGATGATACACAGCATAAAGGAAAGAAGAAAACGGAGGAGGCGCACGTCATCATAGACAGGAGCAATTCGATTAAACAGCGCCTGACGTTCAGTGGCGCATCGAACTGGGCTGAATCCCAATCTGGGAGAAGAAAGGGACCGGCAGGACGGGGAAGGAAGGAGAATTAGGTGCGAGGACGCCATTTCACGCTCTTCTTCACCCAGGATTCGCAACTCTGCCTACTCATAGAACCGTCTTATCCCCAGACCCGGCTAAACCGGAATTGGCTTCCCTCCAACTACCCGCGTTCGGCGCAGGTGATGAGCAACCTGAGCCGTGTAGATTTTTTATTTTCAGGATTATAGGTTTTATTTTGTATTTACTAAAATAAAAAATATAAATTTTAGTTAATTTACATTATCATTAATCTAAACAATACAGATTTACTCTGAATAATCTAATTAATATTAAATATTTATATAATTTTTATAAATTAATCATCTATATATTCTAGACAATCTAGGTTTAAAATTTTAAATTGCAACTTTTTCTTAATGTTTTTAAAGTGTCAGTTTGAATATTATTTTTAAATATTATTTTTGAGTTAAAGTATATTTTTGCTTCTAAATTGTTTGTGAAGGGATAATGTTGTCCTAAACTATTTAACATAACAATATCCCTTAAACTAATTAAATTGAAATAACTTGCTCCTTCTGTTTTAAACCCAACTGTTTTACCATTAAATAAGAAGTTTGATCAATGAAGGCCACTTATTTTAGATAATGTACATTTTTTGGATTTTGAATCAATTTAATTAATTTAGTGGCAATATTACTCCTCCATAAATTTTAAAGACAAAATTACATCTTAACTTTATTGTTTTTACTAAAATAAAATTTATAAAAATCCTAAAAACATTTGATATTAAATTCAAACTGGTTATAATACATTTGAATAGTTAATTTATAAAAATCTTAAAAATTTAATATTAAATTAGAGCATTCAGATTAAATCTGTCCTATCCAAATTAATAAGAAGATAGATTTATTAAAATTTTATAATTTTTATAATAAATATAAAACATAAAATAAAAATAAAAATTTATAAATCTAAAAATCTGGACAGTCTAGCTGCTTGTCAAGTGATGAGCACCAAAATTGAACACCTAACTATCCTCCTTTTTACCACACAGCAAGATTTAGATCATCCAAATTTAATTTAACATTCAAGATTTAAAGCTTTTTTTATTTTTATTGTATATTTATTAAAATAATATTTTTAAAAATTGAATAATTACAATGAATCATCAATCTGGCAATTTAGATTTAATATAAATAATCAGAATTAAAAATTAAGTATAGTCAGATTAAATTTTTACTGTCCATATTGAATAAAATTATTAGAAAACTTTATAATTTTTATGAATTTCTATTTTAACATATAAATAAAAATAAAAAAAATGAACTATCCATATCTTGCCATTTGGTGCAAAAGAAAGATAGTGGAAAGTTAAAATTGGAGAAGCCAACCCCCACAGAACCCAGCTTGCAGGTCTTGAGTACTTTTCTCAGTTTATTTATTATTTTTTGCGATAAATGAATGATAAACAATTAAATTAAACCATAATAAGATTGGATTGTTTATGTGTTTTAAACAAGAGAATAACCCTAATTAGAATAAAGCATATAAATCAATAAAAATAATTTTTCATTTCGGAGTGACAAACGCGCTGTACTGAAATGAGTGATCTTAGTGGAGAAGGAATTGAATATCAGATAGCTTCGCTAGGTAAGAATAAAATTATTGGCAGTCATTTTTCAATAATTTACTAGACCACCACGGAATTGGTGTGGCCACATTAAATTGAAGCCTTTACGTTAGGCCCAACCTTACATTGAGTTGGACTTGGCCATGCACATTGGACTTCTGTATGAAAGCACAATGGAAGTCCAAGATCTAAATGCAGCAGATTCAATCACTACCATGTCCCACAGCTCAATTAATCCCAGGTGACCAAGAGAATGGAGAGAAAAATCACTTGCATACATCAATCCTGCAGACTGGCTTCACTTGTAATGGAAGATGGCTCGGCTATGCTCGGCTCGGCTCGGCTCGGCTCAAACCTGCATATGTTGGAAGTCTATTAACTGAAATTTGATGATGTTACATATATGGATGCATGGGGAGTATAGCTAAGCTTTGAGCCATCCTAATAGAGTTGTGGGAAATAAATAGTGTATAAACTGAATCATGAACTACTCCGCATAGAATTTTGCATCAATAATCAATTGATCCTTTGCAACATCTGAATGGAGCTTCTGTTGGTTACAAAGATCAGCTTTCAATGAAAAAAGAAAGGAAAAAAGAAAAAAACGGAAGCTACTGTGGTTTTGCAATTTTAACTGTTGAGTAAAACAAGTTGATCAAGCATTATAAGCACGATCCATGAAAATTTTAGAATGAAGAGCACGCCGTGATTAGTTTATTGATGACATGCTGAAATTAATACCGCAGCTTTGCAATTTAACAACTTTGGAATAACTTATTGAGTGACAAAACATGAAGGAAAAGGATTATTTATTTCGGTGCATTGCCTGGCAGCCCATAAAGCCTCTCCATTTATCTCATAATGTCGTGCAGTAGAAAAACCAACTTCTAAAGCCAGTTCCTCCAATTCCTTCCCTGCATCAATGGAGGGTTTTGTTAATTATACAATCAATATGACATACCATCTAATGCTCACAAATGTTTGATTTTTCCTTCTATTAACTGCGATTATGAACTAGGTAGGGTTGGTAGAATTGTGATTTTTCCTTCTAAGAGTATAGTCTGTTTGATTGTTCAATAAAGTCTGTTTACGCACTTCAACTACATTGAAGGCAGAGGAAAAGCCATGATGAGCATAGATTGAAAACAAACCTGTTGCAAACTCTTTGATTGAGCTTTTTAGATATCTATACTCTTCAGAGAGGCCATAACCCAAGGCCACTGGGACAACAACGTTCTCAATCATCCATTCCTAGCAGAATAATTTCAACCCATACATTTGGATGCTCAAAGGTTTTATTTAAACTTAAGCAACGCGTGACTAAAAAATTGAAACAAATATCTCTGTCTTGCACTTATTTATCCTAAGGGTAGAGATAATTCCAACCAGAGTTCCATGCTGTAAAATAACACTTGTAACCAGATTAATGATCAATAGCCCATCATCTAACGAATAGATAAATATTGTGAAGCAATAACCCATAAAAATCATGCCTACCATACCATAGCTGAAGCAGTCAGATATTGATTGCTCTTATTAAAGTCAAGGATAGAAACTCTGGAGCCTGGAATAACAAAAGAAAGCAGAAGAGGATGCCGAGTTTAAGAGATCACCAATTATAAAATTGATGGAGTTGAGAGACAAAAGTTACCAGCTTTAAGGACTCGTAATATTTCTTGCATGGCCTTGCGCCTATCAACCACATTTCGTAGACCATAAACCATAGTTATAGCATCGAATGAACCATCACTAAATGGCAACTCAAGAGCATCACCTTCAACCCATCTGCCAAGCAATGAATGGTCACCGTCTTAACATTTTGGTTACATGCAGTATTTTATTGCAACTTTACAACATAATTTTGCAGCTTAACGAAGAGCAGCATGCAAAATTTGTGAGGACTCGTTGTAGCCAATGAATCAATAATATGCTCCAGGCTTATTATTATCATCTAATATTTCTGTACTGCTAGGATTACCGATGCTCACTCCATATTACTGAAGTTCTTTGAAAGCAAGTTCAGCCGAGATGAAGCAATAAACAGTTGCTTCTTTGAGAAGTCAAGACCAATCACCTACAGTCCTACAGATTCCATGACCCCAAAAGGCACCGATCAAATTAAAACACCTTAAAATTTCCAGAAAATTTAGTGTTACTCTACTCATAAGAGTGTGTGTGCGTGTGAGAGAGAGAGAGAGGCTTCAATGTTCATACAAATCAGCAAGTTAATCTTGCAAGAACGTAAAATTCTGCACCCATCAACTTCCACAAACCTAAACATTATTTCAAAGGCAAAAAATTATATTATTAAACATAAAAAAAAAACCGTCCAAAGAAAGGGAACCGCGTAAGCAACTTCGGATGAACAGTGTGGCGACGATGAACCATCTAGGTTCATGTCTCCATACAACTCAATAGTCAGTTCAACGACCCAACTCCCGAACAGAAACCAAGGCAATCATTTCTTAAGATGATGCACAGGACATTCACATATTCTTAATTAAACAAAACAAGAAAGCGAGCATGAAATGATAAAGGGAAACAAGAAAAGAAAGCAACCTCCCCCTTGGACCCAACTTTGTCAGACAATGGAAACGTTAAATCCCCACTCCCACAGCACACATCCAATACACGGTCTCCCATTTTGGCTCTGTTTCAAAGTTGAGACAAATACCGCATCAAGGAAGAGGGAAAAAGGAACTCCAAACGGCTGAAGGAAAATGCGTTCGAGAAACTGCATACCCACTTCATGACACTACCATTCGCTTCCAAATCCGATGCTGACCCAGGCTGAACAAACCATTGAGCTAAAGAAACGGCCAAAGAAGAAAAAAGCATAAAAAGAAAACTAATAAAAATAAAAGAGGGTAGAGAGTAGAGACACACAGCAGAAACAAAAGAAGGAGGAGGAGGAGCGGGCGTACGTAGTCATAGACCGCAGCAATGCGATTAAACAAGGCCTGCCGTTCAGTGGCACACCGAACTGGGGTGCATCGTAAAGTGGGCGAGGCAGGGGACCGGGATGACGAGAACGGAGCAAGAGTGACGTGCAAGCATGCCATTTCTGACTACCTAAAGTCCAAAACCCACAAGGCTACAACCCACTTTGGGGAATTATGATTAATAGTTGAGAAAATTGGTGACAACGGCCAAAGGCTTGCAAGCGGAGAAAAGAGATGGACACTTTTTTTTTTTTTTTTGGGTAAATAGAGAGATGGACACTTGGATATTTCTTCCAGAATCATCATCTCTTGCAAGCTTAACATTTCGGACTTATGTCCAAATATTTAAGCCTTAGTCTTCAGGGCCAGTTTTACCTTAATTGAAGTACTTTTCACTTTTCAGGAGTAAGGCATAATTTTTTTATTTAATTATCCTAATTTTAATACTCCCTCCATCTTAAATTATAAAATACTTTTAAGAGAAATTTATCATTTCAAAATATAAGACATTTTTACAAGTTTAAGGTTTCATTAATAGGCTTATTCCAATATTATCTTTTCTCCCTCTCTATTTAATACTAATTAAGTATGGATTTAAGGTTATTAAATGAAAGATAATTTTAAAAGTTTATATTTTTATTTTAAAAAATAAGGTTGTTTAGTGCATTTAATGAGGGTTATTAATATGTAAAATTTTATTTAAATGTGTCTCATAATTTAGAACGGAAGAAGTGATATTTTTTTATTATTTTTTGAGATTAAAAATTTATTTATTAAATCAACATATGAATTTCAGAACGCGATAGTAAAATGAAGCAAGGAATTGTAGTTATGATCCACTTGAAAATTGTTTTAAATTGAAAAAATTAATCACTTGATTTCTATAATTTTGACTCTGCAGTAGCTGAGCCCCTAAACTTTAATCCATTATAATTTAATTTTTATAGTTTTAACTTCATTGTAACTTAATTTTTAAAGTTTACCTTTTGTAATTTAATCTCTATAATTTCAACCACTTAAATATTAGTCTCTATATTTTAAAAAATAAAATTATAATGATTGAAAATATTTTAAACTTTTAATATTTAGAAAGCAAAGTTTCAAGTTTTTGGTCAAGAAAGTACCAAAAAAAAAAACTTAGTGGATGGAAGGCACAAACCCTTTCAACTGCAAAAAGGTTAACATTGGCTCAATCAATGACTTTTCAAATTCCTTACTACCCACATGCAGCATAGAAAGGTCTCAACTTCTGTCTGTAATGAGATTGAGAAGATCTAGAGGAGGTTTTTTTGGAGCAATGGAGTGTTCATGCCATTAGTTAGAAAACATTATGTGAACCCAAGGGTAGGGGAGGGTATGGATTTAGAGACATGGCTATAATGGATAATGCATTACATAATAAAGTGGCTTGGAATATTATTTTTAAGCCAAATGGCCTTTGTAGTAGGATAGTTACTAGTAAATATGTGAGGGCTAAGGATCTTACTAAGTGTGCGATTGCGAAATGAAATAATTTTTTTTTGTGGAAGAGCTTGGTTGAACTTTGGCCCAAAATTGTGGCAAAGATTGCTCATGATGGTACTAGTACTTTATTTTGGAAAGATAGGTGGCTGGACAATGGTAAGCCGCTTATCAAGAGATGTGCTACTCTAATTGCAAAGAAGCTTGCCAATTGTATTGCGAGCAACATGATGAATGGAAATGATAGCTGGAGGATGCATAGATCAATGGATTTTCTACCCTAGTAGGATATTCTTTTAATCAAAGGTCCTCTTCCTCCTTTGAGAGATGATGAGAATGATACTTTTAAATGGATGCTTCAAGCTAATGGATAGTTTACAGTGTCTCCCATGTATAATGTCTTTCAAAGTGCTCCTATGGGAGCTCAACATTAAATTTGGAATATGGTGTGGAAATTAAAGGGGCTATAGAGAATTCAAGTTTTCACGTGGATGGCTTTACACGAGAGGATTATGATCACTCAATGACAGAACAAAATTTTTAGTTCTTCAATGATTTGTGATACATTTATATTTGAAGTGGAAGATATTTTTACACATTTTAAGGGATTGTAAAATTGCTCGAAATGTTTGAAAAATGTTAATTCCTATTGAAGATTGGACTTTGTTCTGGCAATTGAATAAACATGGTTGATTTTTTTTTTTTTGGAATCAAAACAACAAGATATTATGAGTTTTCTCCTTGGACTACAATTTTTGGGGTCATTATCTAGTCCTTTGGAATCTTTAAAAAAAAAAAGAAGCTTTATTTTAACATAATTATAATCCTTATAATTTTATTTTTTAAAATATAAAAACTAATACTTAAGTGGTTGAAAATATAAAATTTGAGTTACAACAGTTAAAATTTAAACATTGAATTATAATCGAGTCAAAACTTTAAAAATTGAGTTATAATGAGTTAAAATTTAAGGATAAATTACAATTGAGTCAAAATTCAAAACTACAAAAATTAAATAATTTTTTTAAAAAAAAAGAGAATATCCCTTTTTCCTTTTTTTTGACCTTTTTAATTACAACTTCATTAAATGACCAAAGAATGCCCTCAAATTGCAAAGGCCTCAGTCTGTAATGGCCAAGTCATGTTTAGTGTTATTAATTTGTGTGGGTCCCATGTTCTCGAATTAACGCCTCAGTCCATAATGGCCATAGCCATTTGTGTGTTCCGGCTTTGATTGGAGGATTGGGACCATACTTAATACAGCCTAAAAAGTTATTTTTAAAAAAAAAAATATAATATTTATAAAAAATATTTTTTTATTTAAATATGCATTAAGGTAATAAATTTTGAAATAATATAAATATTTTTTGACTAAAAAGACAATTATATTAACAAATAAAAAGAAAAAGGGAATAATATAAATATGAATGCAATAAAATTTATAGTCAACTATATTTTTAAAAATTTTAATTGCAGAGATGTCACCAATTTTAAAATAAAATATGCTATTTAAATTATTTATATATCACTTTTAGCATTTTTACCAAAATTAAAAAAACTTTAAATATTATTAATTTTATCTCAAAATTTTAAAAAATTAATTTTATCCATATTAACTATCTATGCTTCAAAAATAAAATACTCTAACATTTAATGGAGACAAAAATATAAACGTAGAGACATTAATTATTGAAATGCTCTATATATAGAACCAAAATAAATACTTTATTTCTATCCTATAACTAAAACCAAAGAAATAAATAAATTGTTATTTATTTTTATCTTATAATTAGGACAAATATCTCATATTTCTTAATTACACGTGGTGTAATTTTATTTTATTTAACTAAAGAGGATTTAAAACTTACTCTTGTATGAAAAAAAGTGTAATTTCTTTTTTGAAATTGCGCGACGATGAGAGATTTAAAAATAAAACAAGTTGAAAATTTAATTTGCATGTGGTTTACATATCTTGTAGTACAAATTATTTTTTATATTTTTAATTTTAATTTACACATGGCAACAAATTCTAAAATAATTTTGTGTAAAATTGAAACAGGAAGTTGTTTTGCATTCTTAATTTTATATTAATGTGTGTTTGTGCAGGTAGCAAAATCTAAAACAAAATAAGTCATCTATACAATATGAAGGAAACAAATTCTAAAACAAAAGAATTAGTCAAATATTTTAAATTTGTATCAACATAAATAATGTATAGACTGAAATGTCGAAGATTATAAATAGGCGCCTGTTGGTTAGACCAAAAAACCGATTATTTTACTGAAAAAATCAATTAACCAAAAATATATTCAAACATATGAAAATCATGTAATTGGTTTCGTTGGTTAAAATCAATTTTTCTCAAAAGCTGACTATTGAAGCTTCTTCAGATGATCCATCAAAAAATGTTAAAAAAAAATTACAAAAAAAAAAACCCAGAAAAAATTGTCAAAAAAACCCAAAATCTAATAAAAACAAAACCAATAACATATTTTACTCTTTAAATAAAATGTAACAACTTTAATAATATTAAATATAAATTTATTAATAATTTAATTTTAAAATGCAATATCTTTTATAATAATTTACACAATTAAAAGTAATTTTAAATAAATTATTCAAATATCTTAAAATCAATTTTAAAAAAAAATTCAAACAAATTAATTAATTATAATTAAAATTTATTATTTAATTAATTATTTTTATAATCTATTATACCCAATTAAAATTTAAATTGACACTAAAACGAAACAAAATAATCATTAATGAGCCAGAAAGGATTGAAATAGAATGAAATGTTACATTATTGGGAGTGTTTACAGGAAGAATAATTGATTTTGCTTAATTACTATTTAATAATTATTACAAAAATAATATATTTAAATTAATCATAAATATGGTTTTCCAATTTTAAAAAGCAAAAGGAGGAGTAAAAAATGAGAGCACCAAAGGAGATCAGATGAAATAATTTTGTAACATTATTTATATTAAATTATTCACGCCTTGACACCAAGTTAGAAAAGTGAATTATTGATGATTAAGAATAACTTAAAAAGTTTAATTTCATCCCAAGATATTTCAGTTTTTTTCTTAAATCACAATCAATCTAGTTTCCTCATTTTCTTTTTTGGCCGAACTGTTCATTCCTGCCAAACCAAGGATAAAATTTCCCGTGCACCAATTTGCTAAAAATTAATTCAACATATACTAGCGTCATCCGAGGCCTCTTGTTGGCAGAGGCAACAGCCGATATGTGTGCGCGTGTCTAAATTTTTCAAGAATATCTAGCCAAGATATCTGCTTCTTGGTCTCTGTCTCTGCTGGTGGATATTCTCCAACAAGGTGGTATAAAAATAAATTCATTTAGACGGGAATTCTTGCGGGCTGAACTGAAATGAAAGCTTCTCTGATTTCGTGTAAAATAAATCATAAAACACAGCCATGGAAAGTCATTTCCCCCCCCCCAAAAGTACTGTTAAATAACTTCTATGAAGACGGCTAATTCTAGAATTCATCCATCTCCACTTTTGGTCGATAGCAGCAGGGATAAAGTGTATTACATGAAGCGCAGAATCTGTGTGAAAACCTCCTTCATTTTCAAAAATATACAATGTACATACACTTTGGCCCGCGGGGCTATCAGGTTAAAATTGAAAAGGCATAAGCAACATTGTCTGAGGTTATTTTTCATTTAAAAAAATTACAGAGGAAGCAAATTATAATAATGCATTTCCCATTCTTGAGGAGAAATGTAAGTGGTTCAATGCTGGTGCATTTTACAATTTACAGAGGGTAATGGAAGCCACCAATATGAGGAATTAAGAAGAAGAATACAACGTCAATGTACACGTACCAGGGCTTCATACATGATCCGAGTAGAATCCTCCGGTTAGAGTATCCGTGACAGAGAACTGCAGGTTCTCCGAAGGTCTCCAATGACGCTTCCTTTGATTAATAAACCAATTGTTTATTTGCTTCTGATCCAGCCCCGTCGTCTTTGCCAGTGCTATCTTATCAGCTTCCTACTACCACCACCACCACATTATTTTCATTTTACTTACCAAACATTCAATATCTATTCTACCACTCTTATTCTTACTAACTTACTGATTTCATCATATTTTCTGCCTCATTAGCATAAATACCTTATCATCATCCATAATTGATACAAATTTATAAAAAAGTCATAACAAGGCTTATAATTCAAATAAAGAAGCCCACATTACCTTTGGCCATTCAGAAGGCCCACATAAAGTCCTAAAGAACAACCAAACACAACTGGGTTCACATAGTTAAATTCAAGCGTATACGTTAGCCCATGTAAACCTTAAATTGAGTAGGACTCGGCCACAACTGGCATTAAGACATATTAATTCTAATTTATGAACAAATAACTTCTTGCTTTATTTAATCAAAACAAGTTCGTGTTTCCGTACAAATATATTTACACGCATGTTCTCTTCTTTCTATTTATCTATTTTCATGTATGAATGAATGAAAATAATCTACAGCGCGGTAAAATCAGGCGGCAGTTTTATCAAATCACAAAAGGATTAGAATTTGATAAAAGTTTAAAGATATCAATTATTGTATTCTTTATTTTTTTTTTAAAGAAACACAACAGAGAAAAGGTTATTTAAAAAAACTCATCGCGCAACTTCTTGCAAAAAGTTACAGTAAATAAAGTAAAAAGAAGCAGGAAAGGTCGAAAGGAGGAATTACCGTAGGGTAAGGCCATTTATAGTGAACATTCCACCAGTCAAGAAGCGTTTGCCTAGCCTCTTTAGGGAGCTTGCCCTTCTTCTTCTTCTTCGAGAACTCTAATTTCAAACTGCTAATACGGCTACCAAACTTGTTTAAAAGCCTGTCCTTCAGCTCCCGGTCTTCCCCCCGCAATCGACCGTCTCGTGCATCCCTATCTCCTACACTTACATCTTCCTCTGAAGACACGCCTCCTTCATCTGCACCCAAGAACGGCCAATAATAATGATCAACTCTAACCCCCTGCTTGGATGCTCAGATGAGAAGAAATGAGACGAAAGAAAAGAGAGAGAGAGAACTATTGAAAAGAAAATGTTATCACTCGTGCGATCGATAGGAACAAATAAGGAGGAAAGAAGAAGAATAAATATCTTAATAACTATAATTCCCTAATATAAGTATATATCATATCTAATGTAATTGTCTTTGTAAAAATAAATTGAAAAAATAAATTATATTAAAATTAACATAATCAAATTAATTTACAATTAAATTAGTTGTTTAAAAAAATGTAGAAAGCTAAAGATGCAAATTCAGCTTCTATTTCTTAAAATCAAATTAGTATTATTAAAATCAACATCAAATCAAATTATATTAAAATTAGTTATTAAAATTAAATTAGTTCTAAAAAGTTAAAGACACAAATTTTCATCTAGTTAAAAACTTAATTGTTTGTAAATAATTAATGTGGTTAAGCCGGGCAAAAAAGAGAGAGGAGAGGGTAGATAATGAAAATAAAAAAAAGTAGGTAATAAAAATAAAAATTTATTCTTAAAATTTCTCTACTTTTGAAAAGAAAAATTGCTAGGAAAGTGTGTGAACACTTCATTTTCTTCCCAACTTTTCTTTCCTCACTTTTTCTTCTTCATCCAAACAGGAGAAAATGTATTTTCTCTCATGATTTCTCTCCTCACATGTTCTCTCTCCAATTAAATAGAACATAAAGTCAAGTAGCCCTTCTGTAAAGCAGAAAATGACGAAAAATAGATCACATAATCCGCTTCTGGGCCGATTAACCCTAAGAAGGGCCCAAAAGGGGGATAGAGGACTGAATAAGAGGCCCACAAACGGACACAGAGGGTTGCGTCTGACACCCACTATGTCCGACAAGGATTTGACCCCCACATGAGGGGGGTACACCGAAAAGAGGAGAGCTGTGTTGGAAAAGAAAGAAAAAGAGAAACAGATCAGTGTCAGTGGCCAGTTGCGTCGATTGTCATTGGTCAGGTCAGAGGCAGTGGGAAAGTATAGAGTAAGGAGACGATCCAATATACTAATCTATGTTACAGCCATCCGTATAAATATTGGACACCCAATGCTTAAAAAGCTTGAGCTCAATCTTCGTGCTCCTGACCTGAGAGAACTGAGAGAAGCAGAAGCTAACTCAAAAACAAAATAAAAAGTTGCTTTTGATTAACTTACACATTACTCAACAACATATAGTAAGAGTAGAAATGGAATGAGAGATAATGGACAAAAACAATAATACAAGTAATCACAAATGATTAGATCTCTCTTACTGTGACAATGAAATCAATTAAGACCGCTGGTTTCTCCCCTTTTTCATAAAATAAAATAAAATAAAATAAAATATTTGAGAACTTGAGAGGGAGGGTTGGACAGAAAAGGACAGGTACGACAGGCGCTCAGCTAAGAAGTAAGAAGGGGATGGCGGAGAGAGATTATCTCAACTACAGCAAAAGCTGTGAAAACAACAGGGCATGTGAATGTTAAAGTAGTAATTATGAAAATAACTAAAACATGGATCAGAAGCCACCCGCTCTGCTCGGGATTTCCTACATGCCAACAATATATTTAATCATTTATTATTCCATATCCATCTGCATCGCCCCCACATAATGTTTCTCGTGAGTTTCTCTTCTTCCCAAATTCCAGCTTCCATCACTTCATGCTCGCTGCCATATCCTAAATTCCAGCCTTGGAAAAGAAACATGATTATAATATTACTCTCTCTCATTCTATTTATTTTGGTAATAATAATAATAATAGACTTTTACATTTTCATCAAAACTAAAAATAAATAAATCATAACTTCACCTTTATTAAATATATATTTTAAAAATATAATACTTTAACATTTAATAACTTTTTCAACTTTAATGAAGGTTAAAAAAAAAAAAAACTTTGATAACCCTGAGGTGTTCTATATACAGAAATACTCTCTCTGATATAAATAAACCAGAGAAGTATACTGCAATGATTTTATTTTCATACCCTCCAGAAGGAAAGAAAACCAATAATTAAAACCCAACCCATGCATTCTCTTTTAAGCTTTTAACAATGCTGAATGCATTTCTAACAAGTAAATCAGAGAAGCATATACACAGAACCAAAATAAATAAACATGATAATCCTTGAGATGTTCTACATACAGAACCAAAATAAATACTTCCTCTCTCTCTCTCTCTCTCATAAATAAACCAGAGACGGATACAGCAACGATTTTATTTTCATACCCTCCTGAAGGAAAGAAAACCAATAATTAAAACCCAACCCATGCATTCTCTTTTAAGCTTTTAACAATGTTGAATGCATTTCTAGCAAAATAAATCCAGGGGGAAAAAAAAGCATTCCCATGAACAAATTGGACTTCAAGTCCAAGCATCCAACCATATGATTTATTTCTAATTAACCTAAACAGGCTAAACACCGTCAATTAATAATCAATGATATGACAACAAAAATTAATTCAGATAAAAAATTATCCTCATCAAATTAAATGGTCAGCCAGGAAGTGCAAACTGGAAAGCAAAAGCTACTATATCTTCGCTTTCAATATGTCAGTGCGTGGATGGGTCCATATCAGAATAAACAACATCTCGGTCCCGATATAGAATACTCGAGAAAAATTTACTATTTTCACTTTTCTTATTCAAATTAAAAATCAAGCAAGCTAACATTAAGCATTGTCATCCGATCCTGTGTAGCGAAATCATTGCAACACTTCAAGCACTAATGTTTTCAGCTAGAAAGCCACAGATTACATCAAAACTCGATCACAAAAACACAAGCCCAAATCCGTTGATCAAAAAGCAGCATATTACACAAAATTCAAGCCCCCTGCATATCAGTATTATTTAGACGTAGGTGGAAGCGAAGAAAAAAAATGATTTAAAACATATAGGAAGTTTAATTAAATACCCAGTCAAGTAGCGGAAATATGCTAGTTAATTACAAATACAATATCCAATCAAGGCCTGCAATGCATGTGGTTGGTCGCATGACAGGTAAAAACAAACGAAAAATTCAAAGAAAAGTATGGTGAACATCGAAGGGATAAGAACGAAAATCAAACATCATGTGCCCACTATATTGTTTCTCAAGCACGCGCTTAAGGAATGTGTAGGTTTACAAGACAGATTTAAGGAGAATCCATCAAAGCATGAAATACAAAGGCCATTTAAAAATTAAAACATCACTGAAAAGGCAATCTGTACTTCCAAATAAACGATATTATTAGTTATTTCTTAAAAATGTAAACATCGACACTGAAAGGTAATCTGTACTTCCAAATAAAAAATATAAGGCATTCGACAACAAAAAAGCATATTACAACACATCTAGTTGATATGCAGAGGGGCAATGATTTGTTAGAGGGAGAGAGAACTAAAATGAGCAATTCATTAACCGCAAGTACAATTTAATTATCTCAACACTTGAGCATAAAGAACCTAATCAGGAAAACCGAACTACAGATGTTATTAACTAGTATCAATTTATCCCGAAAATAAGTTAACAATACTTTAGGTGCAGACAGGCTATATCAACCCCTTTAAAGTACAATTTCCAATGGGCATTTTATATCGCAACAGCCAGCATCACTTATGCCCTATTGGAACTCTAAAACTAGTAAAGTATGGAAGGGAATCCATATCATATAAGACATTACTGTCAGATCTGATTGTGTTCATCTAATCCAAAACGGGTGAGTTGAAGAGTTACCATAAGGAGTCATATAAATGTTCAACATCAATTTACCTACATTATACAAATTTCTTCTGCATTCTTCCATAGCCATACAATCCTGATCATCCATTACTCTCTTTCATGTTAAAACTTCAAGTTTGACATTTGACTTTCACACAACACTTAGAATTTAAAAAGCTCCAAATGAAAGCAAGATAAATTCTGGAATCTTCTTTGAAATATCACTTAACAGCTCACAATTTTTTTTTTAGTTTATTACTTACTAAACGACCGCATAAGATGGGAAAACGAGGACTTCAAAATATTGAGTCCCTAAAAATTAGGAAACAACAAAATAAAAATTACCATTTATTATTTACATGCTATGAAACTGAAAAACACTCCCAACAATTTCCATAATCAAACATTTAGATGAAGGTTAACAAGAATATACTACAAGCATACAATACTTAGAAACCAACAGTCATAGAGAATCACCTTCAAAACGAAACTTGCCTATTGACGAGCATGAAGCCAGATAAGGTGCTAGCCTGCCTTGGCTGCTTCAATCCATCAGATTTTAGGCCAATATCTAGAAGAGAACAACATCTAAAGAAAAAAAACTAAAGGAAACTGGGGAAAAACATTTGAAGGATGGAAGAATTGAGACGCAAAAGGCCCCTAAAAGAATTTCGCCAACGATACATGAGCAGGTTGCTTTTAGAGTGTTATCAAACGACGTCTGTGTCAGCGACGTCAAAATTCTGGAATTTATTTTGATTGTTAAAAAAACAATTTCAGCAGCCAGCAGAAGGCAGAACAAAAAGGAAATGAAAACAAGTAGAAACATATCAAACAAGACGAATTGATTAAAAACTCATACATAGAAGAAAGAGATTTAAATACGGTTGACTCAAATGACCAAGCAATCCATATTTCTTTCCACGGCGAAAGAAAGAAATACATGGAACGCGGGCTAACAGTGAAAGCGGGAAGGAAAAGTCACAAATCAACTGCAGATGGCTTGCTAGAGCGAAAAACGAAATGATTCTTCTTAGGGTTTTCATTTCTTTTTCCTTACTTCTAAAGTTGTTTGTATCACTGTGCCATCCGTTATTGCAACCATATGCTTGCTGCTACCGAGTTAGATTAATAATTCTGCGGGGGCAATATTTATGCCCTCAAAAAGAGAGCAACCATATAGTCAATGCTCCGGGTGGGTTCTTTCTCGTCCAAAAATCTCCAAAAGCTTTCAATTTTCAAAATAGTCCCTCGCTTGTTTCTCCAGATATAACGCAACATAAGACGACGCCTGCACAGAGCTAACAAAGAACATCGAGTTGTTCACAGGGGAGGAAAAGACTGACCGGAAAGAGTTGGAACGGGAGCACCAGAGCAGAGATGGCTGAGCTGGATTTCGATCTCGTTGAGGAAAGTAGTTGCTTCGTCAAACGGCCGGGAAAGATCAGACTTATACTTCATCAGCAGGTCGCAATAGGTTTCCTGTGACCACAGACAAAACTGAGTGAAAAACCAGAGTCACAATGAATTCGTCGAGCTATACGTAAAGGTGTGGACGTGAACATGAGAGAGAGTAAACCAAAAAAATTAATAAAAGGAAGGAAGGAAAGAAGGGGGGGACCATGAACTCGTCGAGCTCGGGATCGTCACCGAAGCACGTGGAAACAACCTCTCGCTTACAGACATCGTTTTCCCGCTGGATTTCGTCTAACAGGCACGCGATTTCTGGAGGCGCTCCCACCTGACATACATGCCAAAAACGTTTCACAACGTCCCAACGAGTCATAATAGATGGTATGTTGAAACGGCTTCTGAAGAACCGATTCCATCCAACAATTCAAGAGCTAAAACTGCATAGGGTTCCACAGAAACTAGTACCCAAAGTCCTCGTTTATAACTTGCTATAGTTAAGTCCTTGCTTACCTTGACTACGACTTCAAAATCTCAAGAATTGAAAAAAGACTAAAGAAAAGTAAATAAGTTATGACGCTGACAAGTTTCGAAAAGCTTGAAGGGGGAAAAAACTCAAAAGTTAAATCAGCAAAATGAAGTACAATATTGAGAATTGGATATGAAGGAAAAATAGTGAATCTCAGTAACTTGGCTTGTTCCTGTGCTTATTTATGATCTCAGGCGCAGGAGGTTATGAAATCACCTTCTGGCAGTCGATGAAAGCATGGAGGAGACGAGGGTAGTGAGGATGAGAAGCGATTTTGGCTTTGATGAGAGAGGAGGCACTGTCTTCAGGTTGAATTTCAGGGGCGACAGACGGCGGCTCAGCTTCGGAAATGGCAGAAAGCAGGTCGTTAGATCCGAACATCGGATTCCGATCATGGAAGCCGCCGGAGGAGGACGGGAGAAAACTCTGGTAATCGGTGGCGAATATGAGGTTCTCCGGCGTCATCAAGGCCTTGTCGGAGTAGTCCGCCGACATCGGCACTCCGTAGATTTCTTCCATCGCCGGTCGAAGTCGAACACAAAGCTCGAGCACCAAGTCTGTGCGTAGCAGAAGCAACTTCTGGAAGAAGAAGATACCGATAAACACAACCACTTCCAATTCCAATAAATCGAACAGCTCGCCACGCTCTCACACATTTACTGTTACATGATTTCTGCTGAAAAAGGAGATTGTCCATTCCATAATTTTACAAATACAAATTATAATTATCTTATCTGCAGTAGTAAAACATAATCCATGTTTTTTTTTTTTTTACAGAACATTGTCTCTATAAATATTTTGCTTTATCCTCTATTTTATATAGATATTAAATATTAAGAAGTAATTAAGTAAGCAGTAAACGAAAGTTGAACTAAATAAATATTTAAAAAGAAAAAAGAAAAATAACAATAAAATTTTTTTAAAATATTTAAATGATAATTTAATTTTTTAAAATATCATAATTTTTTAAAATTTTTGACACTTTTTTACTAGTAATGAGTTTACATAAATTATTAAATTATTTTTATTTAAAACAAATAATTTATAAATTTTATTTAAATATTTATAATTTTTTTACATTCATCATAATGTAATAATTTACAACTTCATTTTTTATTTATTATTATATTATTATGAATATAAAAATAAAAACTATAAATATTTAAATAAAATTTATGAACTATTTATTTTTAATAAAAATAATTTAATAATTTAAATAAATTTATTGATGGTTAAAGAGTTTTAAAAAATTTTAAGAGAATTACAATATTTTAAAAATTAAATTAATATTTATATATTTTATAAAGGTTTCTGTTATCATTTTTTCGAGGAGGAATTCGGGAGGATGGAGGGGAGTGAATACAAAGACTTCGGGATTGGGAAGAAGATCAGTGAACAGAGCCAGCAGCGACTGAACCGGCGGTAAGGAGTATCATTCTCCATTCCCAAACAGAGAATCCTTGGTTTTTATTTTTATTTTTTTTATTTTTGGCTAAATACGAGAATCCTTTTAAATTTATTTGGTTGGTCTACATAGAGTTTTCATTAGAGTCTTTTTTTTTTCAAATAAGGAAAAGATCCTTTCATTACAGCAGATAAGTGGGGATCAAACCAGAAAATTTTATGTGACATTTCAGAATTAGGGGTAGCTTTTTCAAAGTTTCTTTTTTTTTTTTCCATTCCCACCAATTTGTTTGAATATGAAATCTTGTAGCTAAACAGTCATGAATCTTTATCAGGCTAGGACCAACGCGTGTTACAACTTCACTCCTTCATTGTTATATATAAGGTTTAAAGAGAAATATTTTTTGTTTTATTTATAAATCATATAATTAAATTTTAAGTATAATTTTTTCTTTAATTAAATATATATATTTAATATAGGAAAAATTAAAAAGTTTTTAAATTTCTTTATAGAATTAATAAGTTTTTATAATTTTTCTTAATTTTAGTAAAATATATTGAAAATTTATAAATATGACCAAATGAGTATGATCTGTAATTTTATGCTCCTCCAATAAAAAATATAAAGTATTTTTAATTGAATATTACCTTTCAATAAAAAAATTACTTCATCTTCAAACTAATATTGTCATTTTATAAATACCCCTATTTAATAGAGATAGAGTATTTCACTTTATAATAAATATAAAGTGATTTATTTATTAAAAATATTTTTTAAAATAAGACAATAATTACATATTAAAATATAAAAATACTTTATATTTTTTAAATTTAATATTTTAAAAAATGCCTTAGAGGAGTATACCCACAAATTATCTGTAGATCAATCTATAAGCCTCACGTTTGGGTTCAGATTTGAAATTTTAAAAATATATCACTTTCTATCCCTGTCTTGCATAGAGATATATACATGCATGTAAATCAAAAAAGAATCTGCTAACCAGAGAAGCTAAAGCCGAGCATGAGTAATCTCTCTATGCAAAAGGACATTTCATCGTTTAACAAATACAGTCAGATAATTTCCTCACATTATATTTTCTCTCCCCTAAACATTTTCTATGCAGCAAACGCAATTTATATTGTATCTCTTCTTAAAATTTCCAAGTCTCTTGTTCAAGTTGGGAAACTGTTTGGTAACTTGCAAAGTTCATTTCATAACTTAAAAAGACAAAACTTCTTTCACATTATTTTTGTGCATATCCAATGAATTTCCAAATACGTACCCATGCATTATCACATTTATAAAGGGAAAAAGTAATCAAACACATGCATGTATGATATAGACTCTTCTTTTACTTTATATTTAATCAAAATACAAACTATATCCTTGTATTTTAATTGTATTTTGTTTTTAATCCCTGTAATTTCATTTCATTGTTTCTAATCCTTTTAGCGTGATCAAACTAAATGAAATAAAAATCATAAAATAAAATCATTTTCTCTTAAATTTATTTTTATTGTGCTCGATGGAAGTAAATGTTAACAGTGTATAGAAAAAAAAAAGGAAATTTTAATATTTTTCCAATAGCTTGTTCGCTTTTGCACGGGATGATAATATAACTACTGCGAAATACAATTTCTATACAGAAAATTAGATTATTGGACAGGAAATGAGCGACAACAAGGAGAAGGCATGCCCTATGATATGAGCTAAGATTATTTTCTTTTTTTCTTTTTTAATTTCCCATGATTTATATATTTGCGTAAAAATCTTAGATCCTGGCCGTAGGACATCTTTAATACGATAAAAACCTTTCTCGAAATATTCCAAGCCGTTTTTTTTTTTTTATCATTAAGATATTAACTAAAGGAGACGGTAATCTCGTAGTACCTCCTTTTAGAATAAATCAATTAATAGCCACGCTTTTATGTTTTATTCCTCTCGCGCTCACATGTTTTTTAAAGGTTCATTTGGCGTTGGATTCTCTTTTCCCAAAAAAGAATATGTATATTTTTATTAATTAATAATTTGAAATCATATTCATGTATTACTGTTTTAAAATAATAATATAAAAAATATTATTTTATTTTATTTTATTTAAACAAATATGTGAACTAGGCGTAAGCAACTAACTTTTCACAGATGAGGTACTATGAATGATTATATGCGTAAGGTAGATTGTACATCAATGAAAGCATAAATGCATTTTCTATGCTTAATATTCCTTGAGTCATGTCACGCCTAAATGTTAATAGATAGTATATAATATTTAAAAAATGAAATTCTGACATAAAGTTGAAGTATCAAATGATGTTCAATAAATATATAAACCCTATAGGAAGTACAGTTTTTGATTAATAGCAATGGAGCTGATTGTTAAATTCATGAATTCAAATAAATTTATAATTATAATTATGATAAAGATATAAACTTAAAATATAAATGCAGATCATAAATTTATAAGAATTTATCTTTATTAATAAATAAGTTTTAAAAGTATATGATTAAATAATTAAAATATAAAAATATGACATAATTTAATTTAAATATATTTAAATGTAAATAATTAAAGTTAAATCTATTTACATATATTGTTATATTTAATATGAAAATTTTAAAAGAGGGCAACTTAGTATTTTTTGTTTTTTTATTAATATTATTTTTTTGTTTCTTGAATTTTTTTATTGACCCAGATCCTACTGCTTATATAAATTAAGTTTTACGCAATATATACATATCTCACTCAAGAAATTTATGAATAAATTGGTATGATTTTATAAGTTAGATATGTAAAAAGGTAAATTTAAAAAGTTAACTCACGAGTTTAATTGAATTTTATCTAATTGTTTGAGTTCAATTGAGTTGTACTCTTTATTATCAAACTCTTGAGTTAACTCTATAAATTTATCATTTTTATGCTTGAAGCATTTTACTTTCAGATTAAAAAAGGACTTATTTTACTAATTAAGTGAGGCCTCGCATTTAGTTAATCATTATATTAAATAGAGCGTGGTATTAATTTATTACCAGCGGTATACATATATAATATTCTTTCAAATTTTTTACGAGAAACATTCTTGCTTCTGATTGATAGCAACATTAATGTAAATTAATATTCTTTCAAATTTCTTACAATATATATGTGCGCGCACGCCTGGTGTTCTATTTATGCCCCTGTTAGTGTGCTCATAAAGGAAAGGATATTAATAGAAAACATAATGTTTATATGTATAAAGATAGAAATTTGACTCCTTGTACTTCACCCAAATAATAATAATAATAATGATGATAATAAAGAAATAAATAAATTTGAGAATTGAAAATATAAGAGCATCGTGAATTGTATTGTTAAAATTACAAGTTTAATTAAACTCATAATAAGAATATAAACTCGAATCATAAATTTATAAGAATTTACTTT